AAAGCATCTTTACTTTTATCTCAGGAAAAACGTGTAAAACTTCTATTCCACACGCAGAGAATAACTTCTGACCAAAGTCCGTTCTTTCCTGTTGCATCTCAAAAAAGCGTCCGTGTGCAACACACCTTAAAATTAACGCACTTTAGTTCCCAGTCAACATAAACACTCAACATTCACGAATAGATTAAGCAACATAACAAAAAACATGTTCAATAACAGAAATAATATCTATGGCAGTTATAGTGCGGATGAGCATCGGGACGGACCCGACGCGCTAACCAGGCATCTGGTACCGACCCAATTGACCCACCCGAACCACCGGCGTACCCGCGGAGGGGCAGTGAGGTGGAAGACAGAGACCGACTGCAGTGGCAATGTAGCCACCGAAAGCGGGGTCTGGCTGTGGAGCTCACCACCGACTTGCTTCCACTGGGGGCAGATGGCAGGGAAGGCCCGTGGGCTTTCCGCTGCGTGCCCTGTGGAGAAGGGAGGGGGAGATATGAGGTACAAGGCCCTGCCTCCTCTTGAGCTGGTCTCTGCCCCTCTGGGCCCAGCCGATGCAACCGAGGAAGCGCCGCTCCTGTCGGCTATCTGCAGACTGGGAAGAGGGTAATGGGAGAGATGCTGCTTGGAGACAGCACCCACTGCGATTCTGACCCTCTTGGGTGAGAGGAGACTGTGTGCCCGTCAGTCAAACGCCGCATGCAAGTCCTGCAGCAAAGCTGGGTCGGGACCACCTGCCTGCAAGCCATGAAGCGCTCCAACCTGATGGCATCTCCATGCCATGTAGGCATCCCCGGTCAGACCAGAGGAAAACCTACAGGCACGGGAGGGGAGTGAAGGAGCACACTGCCAAGTGGAAGCGGTGTCCGGACACAAGGTTCGGGACCCGGTGGAGGGTTCCACACAAGCCCGACATTCACAGCCGCCCGTTCGAGCATAGCAGCCATCTCAGGGTCCACAAGAAAAACACTGCAATGCCATTGACGTTCCGTCGCTCCATTGGTCTGATTACATACGTGCTTCATGAAGCACAACACAGGGCTATAGGGACATAGTGTTCGACGCAGCGTCTCGTTTACACAGCGTAACTGAGACGCTTTTATGCTTACCAAGGCTGTATCTATTTGATAAAAAAATACAGTTAAAACAATAATATTGTGAAAAATTATTGCAAGTTAAAGGACAACTCCGGCGCAAAATAACCTTTGGTCTAATTACACATTGTTACCTAGTCAACCGTTATCTGAGATTTGTTTTCATGATTCCGAATGTAAATAGTTTTATCTCTAAAAACAGTTTAGCCTATAACGCTAGTATATAGGGCATAGAGTAATGGCAAATAAAAATTGTTGTTATTTTTTACCACTTGTTATTACCACTAACAAGCCTCAAAATAGCCCCACACAACACGGTAGCATAATATGGGTCACTACATTCAAACCGAAGCATTGAGAACTTTGTCAGTGTCCATACAGTTTAATAAGTAGATATTTTATACACACAGTCAACTTCACGAATACAGAAAGAAGCCATCTTTGAAAAATAGTCTCTACAGTCAATCTACGAACACCGATCCATGTGCGCTGGTGAGATGTGAATAGGGATGGGACGATAACCGGTTTCACGATAAACCGTGATAAAATGTACTGACGGTTAGTATTATCGTTTAAAATTTAATTATCATTAAAACCGTGTTTGATTATCGCGATTTAATAACTCACTGAATCCTGTCGGCCAGTCTGACGCAGGCGCGCAGCACGCAATATTTTCTTAAATTACTATTCGAGAAGGAATGGCGGAAGGCAGTGACCGTGCTCAGGAGATTTTTCAGCCTTTTAAGAGGACCAAATCTGAGGTGTGGTCATATTTTGGGTTTTACAAAAGTCCTGAGGGAAACTCGATCGAGGATGGTCACCTTGTCTGCCGAACAAAAAGTCACTGCAATAGAAACACTTCAAATCTGCCGAGTCGTCTTGTGTGATCATCACCCGAACTCAAGGCAAGTTAACTTTGACCTTAATACCAAAACTACGTCTGGGAAACAATTGGGCACAAAATGTTGTTTTGAGTTGAAACATTTTATGTCACTCACTTGAAATAGACGTGAAGCTTCCGCGAAGAAAAAGTTTGTAGACGAACGAACAACTTCAAACAAGACCATTATTAAGAGTGATATTTTAAGGGATAGTAAAGTATAGATACATCACGTATTAAACCGATTTTATTTATTACGGGGACATATTGAATTGATAAGGAGATTAGCTAATGTTTTAAATCTTACCTGTTTATGAATTCATTTTGTCAAACAATCGTCCAGACAAGATATATCACACCAATATTATCAAACTCTGTAATCAACTCTGATTTCATTTTTGCAATACAATCAAAAACCGGAGACGCAAGACGGCAAGTTGTATTCGAATGAAACAAGAGCGTGCGTCCGTTGTGATATGGATGTGCGCTGTGTAATAATGTGTTGCTATTGACAACGGGCATTATGAAGAAGCAAATGCCATAGAATAGAATCTTGCTTAAAAAACTGCATAGAGAGGCTTGTTTTATTTGTTGTTTGTTGATTTTCAATTATAAAACTTGTTGAAATGTTTTCAGTGTGAGCATCAGTTCTTTTTGAGCACTTTCATAAATTTTTAACAAAACCGTGATAATATTGATAATCACGATTATTTTGGACACTATAATCGTGATATGAAATTTTCATACCGTCCCATCCCTAGATGTGAATAAGGTGATAAGGTGAGCGCGAACAGTAGGCTACGTGTACATATTGAAGAGAAGAAAACGGTTCGTGTTTGTGTTTCTTCCGGAAACAATGGACCATTCTGCACAGTTCAGCGCACCTGGATCGGCGTTCGTAGATCGACTGGTAGAGACTATTTTTCAAAGATGGCTTCTTCCTGTATTCGCTAAGTTTACTGTGTGTATAAAATATCTTCTTATTAAACTGTTTGGACACTGACAAAGTTCTTAATGCTTCGGTTTGAATGTAAGGACCCTTATTATGCTATTGTGTTAGTGTGGGGCTATTTTGAGCCTTGTTAGTGGTAATAACAAGCGATTTTTATTTGTCATTACTCTATGCCCTTTATATTAGCATTATACTAGCGTTATAGACAGCAGAGATAAAACTTTGTTTTTAGAGATAAAACTATTTACATTCAGCAATCATGAAAACAAATCTCAGATAACGGTTGAATAGGTAACAATGTGTAATTAGACAAAAGGTTCATTTTGTGCTGGAGTTGTCCTTTAAAAGAAATCTTCTATTCTGATCTATTCTTTGTCACATGATCCTTCAGAAATCATTCTAATATGCTGATTTGGTGCTCAAACAGAAAATGAATGTGAGGGTTCAACTTGTATAGCAAACACAAACAACACTAATTAATTACAGACAGCTGAAACCAAAAACACAAATGAGGAGCAAGAAAACTGAACAAGGAAGACAAATGAAAACAAACTGAAAATTCCATGACAAATAAAACTAACAAAACACACAAAGATGCTTTAAATTAATCAAACAAATAAAACTAACAAAGTCAAACGCCGCACGCAAGTCAAACGCCGCAGTAACACTATAAAGACATGTATAGTGTTACAAAAGCCTTCTATTTCAAATAAATGCTGTTCTTTTGAGCTTTATAGTCATTAAATAAATAAAAAATATTTATAATCAATGTTGAAAACAGTCAACATATATAGTAATAAGAACCATTATTAATTATTGAGCACCAATAATAATAATTGACCACCAGCATATTAGAATTTTTGCGGTTCAGTATTTTTGGCAGGATTATTCAGGATTCCTTAATGAATAGAAAGATCAAAGGAACATCATTCATTTGAAATAAAAATATTTTGTAACATTATAAATGTATTGACTGTCACTTTTAATCTAATATTTATTTTAATTTTTAATTTAATTTAATATTATAATGATTACTGAAGGATTGTGTGAAACTGAAGACTGGAGTAATGGCATGCACGATTATAGGTCTTCCAAAAAGAACTAAATGTTTTTTACTCCTCACAAATGCATTCACAGCATTCCACTTATTTTGTATGTTATTCCCCATATTTTCTTCTCAGGAGTTTAGGAGTTCACAATTCAAAGGTGCGATCCCTCACACTTGATTCATGGGAGCCAGAGTTGCTTAAGGTAAATGTTCATACCATTTTGTTCTTTATTTGTGCAATATGTTCAGCAGTCTTTTCACTTTATGTTTTTTTTTTTTCTGTTTCCAGTTGATGTGCAAGCTGGGAAATTGTGTCATTAATCAGATCTATGAAGCTCGTAGAGAAGAGCTGGGTGGAAAGAAACCTCAGCCTGGAGACCCCAGGTATTCCTAGCCACTCCTTATTTTGACTGAAATTTTGATAGATGTGAACCACAAAATAAACACTGCAACAATATTATAGTAATAGTAAAATTGTTGTCCTCTGAGGTCATTTTCAATAAAAGACATGACTAATGACTGGTCCCCATACAGCTGTAACGGACTCAGGCTCGGTTTTGTTTTTGAATTCATTTGCAGAAGTTGTATTGAATTATTGAGTAATAAATCCAAATCAACAGTCAAAGAGATGGTAACAGATACAGCCTCGGTTCACTGAACAAAATAGACAGTCAGGCAAAGTAACCTAATAAATATGATAGCCAAGAAAAAGCCAAAAGGTCATAACAAGAAACTTTGCAAAGTGTTAAAGGAAAACACGTCTCTTTATACCTAAGGAGCATGAAGTAACATCCAGCTCAGTTCAGTTCTCATATAATGGTGTCAATGCAGGCAGATCAATAATATTGTTAAATATTAAGTGTCTCCAACTAAGCAAGCCAAACGGCAAAGGCGACGGTGGCAAGGAGCCCAAAGTCCATGATGGACTTCGCTTTTGGCTTTTGGCTTAGTTGGAGACACTTAATATTTAACAATATTATTGATTAATATTCAACAATATTATTGACAGAATAGAGGGGGGGAAACCAGGCTCAGTCAGGGGGCCAGTTCTCAGTGTATGATTATGATTCTGGCAACATTACTCCAAAGTCAGATTGAATTGGAAGATTAAGAATGGAACATATTAGAACATTTTCAGTGTACAGTCCAACTTGTAAAGTTATTGGGACTGTCTGTTGTGACGTGCCTTGTCCTATGAATTCTTTGTTGACTGCTGTGATATTAATTGAAGGGATGCATGGCAGAGTGGGGATCTTAAGTTCCTGGATGTATGATATGGTCATGTATTAAATTCACTGCAGCCCCGGAATCTACTTGCTCTTAAACATATTGTGTTTTATTAGAAATCTCAATGGAGATAGAGTGAAATATTGACAAAGGGCAGTAAGGAAATGTTAATGTCTCAGTTTTCCTTGAGGTGTTGTTGGCTTTGTTGGGACATGCAGATATTGCTATGATGTTTGGGTTGGCTGCGGTAAAATCATAAGTGCTCATGTAGACGATGATGTTGTTCTTCTGGTGACAGTCTAGTATAGCTGATTTGCATGGGTTCTGTGGACTGGGGCATTGAGAGAGCAGCAGCTTCAGCTGGAGCAAGGAGCCATTTTGGTTTGTTTGGAGTGGAGGTTGTTATGAATGACATTATCTTACTTAATAGCCATGGTGATAAACTGTGATAGGTCAATGGTTTCATCTTTGAATGTTAACTCTACTTGTTTTAAGTGCCACAACATTCCTCCCACTGTGACCAGCTAGTTTTATAAATCAGATGTCATATTCAGTATCTGATCAATTACCTTGGCATATAGTACAGATAACTATACAGAGATACCCTGTCCTTATGCAGAATATTGAAAGACATCTTAAATTTGCTGAGCAAAATATTTAAAAAGAAGTATACCATTGTCCCACATAGCCGAAGACAAATCCAATGCCTTTCCAGTGAGCAAAGTCATCATAAATTTATATTCTGTAGTATCTTGACGAAATGCTTCGGGATGATTGGAAAAGTAAATTCTACATTGATATTATACATTCAGCAGAACCATCAAAATGATCTGGCAGTGCAAACCTTACCTCAGTTCCAGTTCAGGCTCAGTTCTAGTTGGCGGAAGTGATTGAATGCACTATGTTAAGAGGTAAGACTGGTAATACTTTGCAAAGTGTTAGTGGAAAACATGGCTCTTTGTGGCAACTTTTAACTCCACTTTTAGACATGCACTCGCAAACTTCCCTAAGCACTGTGTTCAACTTGCTATATTGGAATTTATTATATTACATTTTTTTAACTGTCCAATCATACAGACAGGCCTATAGACGGATAAATAATAAATCAGCACCATAGCAGATTCCAAGTGATCAAGGGCTTGGCGTGTTCCATTTGAACACATTGCAAGGGTTCCATGAATCATATTAAAAGTTTATTGTAGGAGACTTCCGGTGACGCCATGTTGACAGCAACCTGAGGGACTGGTTCCGTCCAAAATTGTAATAATTTCCTAACAAACCAAGCATAAATCTCTGCGATTCTTAACAAATTCGACATGTCGACAACTAGAGGCAGAGGACAATTTAAACAGGACTCAACTAAGGAAAAAGGCAAAAACTTAAAGCAGCTAACTCTGCTACAAGCGCAGAGTGCCGAATCAGATTCTAGTATGTGTGACTCCGAATCAAAAATACTGGCTGATCTCGAGAAAATGAGGAAAGACAACCAAGATAGGCACACTCAGACCCAACTATCTTTAATACGGCTGGAAACGTCTTTCGCTGAACTGAAAGGAGAACTTACTGGGCAGCAAAAGATAACCACAGAGGCAGAGGACCGTATTAGTGCTAATGAAGACACGGCTACGTTATTTATTGCACCGAGAAATGGATCTGAATGCACAATGTGAAGATATACAAAAACGTCGAAGGCGAAACAACCTGAGAATTTATAAAGTGGATTAAGGGAGCGAGGGAAGAGATGTTAAGCTTTTTGTACATTATTTGCTTAAATCTGCTGTTCGACCTCCCGAACTTAACATCGTCATTGAAAGGGCACACCGAGCGCTCACTGCCAAGCCCAAGAATCCTGAAGCAGCCCCTCGTTCGCTTGTCGTTAGGTTTTTGGACTTCTCAGTAAAATAATTCATTCTAAGACAGGCCAGCTAACAGAAAAAAGTCATGCACAAAGGAAAACTCTGACCACGACTTCTCTTCCGATTTGCAGAAGAAAAGGGGGCTGGTGGCTGAGGCAGTAAAACAGCTAAAGGTGAAGAACATTGTGTTTTCCCTGCACAGCTGAGAGTTTTTATGGAGGATGGCGTGAAGACCTACCCAACATTGACAGACACCACGCTGGTACTTGAGGAGTTGGGAGTGCACAGACGAGTAGATGAGAGGGAGCGACTGGGGACGGAGTTGTGCCGAGACGGGTGGAAAACAGTGGGAAGGAGAGTCAACAGAGGTCCTGCGACACTCGCCTACGCCGAAATATATAGCCTTTTTCAACGCCGATAACTAGCATACCTTTGCCGAGTTCAGCTATCTAAATAAACCAGTATAGTTAGGAGAAGAAAAGTGAAGATTTCCAATTTGGGCGTGACATGAGAACCACTAAGTGGAGGACTATATCTAAGTCGCAAAAGTACATCCACATCTAAGTCGCAAAAGAAACACTCACCAACCTCCGTCCAAGTTACACCGGGGACTGGGTCATTCAGGTTCGAGAACTAGTCAAAAGATTTATATTTGATCCAGTCGAGTGGAAGCCTATATTGTTCTATTTGTTAGTTATATGTTCATGTGCAAATGTTATTTTTGTCCTGAGACCTTTAATTGGCCATTATACTGTTATTTTCTGCAATAATTATTTTTATGGTGATTTATATGAGATTCAAGAAGGGGTTATAGTACTTGAATATGCAACATAATAACTGATGGATAATCTAATATGTGTTACTTATAATGTTAAAGGAAAATTCAAAGGAAAAAAGTGCTGAATCATCTGAAAAAACTTAATGTTGCCATAGCAATGCTACAGGAAATGCATCTCTCAGATAAGGAGCACATGAAGCTGAGAAGAGAGTGGGTAGACCAGCAATATAGCTCCTCACATCAAACTGGGAGGAAAAGAGGAGTTGCTATTCTCTTTAACAAGTCAGTGTATTTTTGCCATGAGAAAACTTTCAGTGACAAGGAGGGGGGATTTCTGGTGGTGATTGGATGTATAGGGGGCATTAAAATGACTTTAGTAAATTTGTATGCTCCAAATGAGGATTGTCCTATTTTCTTTAAAAATATAGCATCATTGATAGCAGACAAAGCTGAAGGGATTATTTTTATTGGGGGAGATTTTAACTGTGTTCTGAGAGCATCAGTAGATACCCTGCTGACTTTGGTCCAAGGACCAGGAAGTCTTTAACTCTTTGTGCACTAATGGATGAGCTGGGTTTGATAGATGTTTGGCGTTGCCAACATCCCAAGGAAAAAGATTTTACTTCTTTCTCAAATGTTCACTGTAGTCACTCAAGATTAGATATGTTTTTGATGACTGGTGTAGATTCCTATAGAGTGACCCAGTGTAATATTGAAGCAATTACCATCTCAGATCACGCTCCAGTCTCTTTGACGTTAAAGCTGAGTCCAAATAATAATTTTAAGTACTGGAGAGCAAATGTATCTATTCTAAATAACGAAGTGATTCAACAACAAATTAGGAGAGTCAAATCAAGTCACATTTATTTATACAGCGCTTTTCACAATACAGATTGTATCAAAGCAGCTTCACAGTGATAACATGAAAGTAGTACAATACAGATCAATAATATTTTTAAATATTAAATATTAAATATCCCCAACTGAGCAAGCCAAAAGCAAGGCAACAGTGGCAAGGAACCAAAACTCCATCAGATTAGATGGAGAAAAAAACCTTGGGAGAACCCAGGCTCAGTCGGGGGCCAGTTCTCCTCTGGCTAACATTCATATTGTTTATATATAAATATTAAATATTAATATTGTTTATATATAAAACGGCACCATAACATATCGCCGGCGTTGAATCGTCTATTCACAGGCGATGGTCTTCTCATCACAGGCGTTGTGGCATCCGAAATCCACATGAGAAGCTGGATACAAAACGAATCGGTTACCTAACGTAACCTCGGTTCTCTCTAGATGAGGGAACGAGTATTGCGTAAGCTAGCTTACGCTACAGGAAAGATTCATCTTTCAGCTCATTGGTTCGCTCAGAGAGAATGCACGAACCTATGGGAGAGCGGCGCTGAGCCAATGTGCGGACGGCGCTCGCTCACTGCGTCACAGCCCGCCAAAAGGGGCGTGGCTACAGTGTATAAAGGTAGCTCTCCCAGGCTAGTTCGTCGATTCTGTCAGCATGAAGC